GGGCCTCGCGGTATATCCCATTGCCCGGATATTCATCATGGCCCATGACTATGGGCCAGTCTTTGGAGCCTATTCTAGACGTAGTTGTTTAATACGGATTAGTCCGTAGTCAGATAAGATTTTTCCCGTAGTCGGTTAACTACGGGAAAAAGGAGGTTATCCAGTAAAAGTCTAAGTTGGCCTTTCAGCGGCATTGGGGGTTGTTACTCGACTCTCTAATCGCTATAGAGAGGAGTTCTCTTGGAAAAGGTCGCTCGTCCGGGGGCCGGATATGCAACGGCGCGAAGCCGTTGAGGTGTTCGTGTGGCCCGTTGTCGGCGCGGTCACACATGCCGCGCGCCAGGCGGGCCACGAAGTCGGTGATGGTCTCGACTTTCAGATCTGCCGCTATTACGTCATTCCGGACGTAGCGACCTGCTCCGACAATCGTCCTTAATGTCAGATTCTGCTGGACTGCAATTGCCGCCTCAGAGGGTTGCTCAGAAGTACCAGGCCGGAGCAGCGTAGGTGATGATGGTCCGGATATACCTCTTGTATATCCGAAGCTTGGTTCTGATCGGCAGTTTGGATGCCAGGACAGGCAAGAGCGTCGCCCGCGCACATCGGGCTCTGCGGACGACGAAGTCGACGTGCGCGGTCATGCGCAGCGTCCTGTCGATCCTGCACCCAAGGTAGGTTACGGCCTTCTGGTACGCAATCTTCTGGCCATTGAGGGTCAGCGGAGGTGGAAATTTTCTGAGACGGCGAGTGAGCAGAGCGGTCGTCTTACCAACGTTGACGACCATCCTCCACTCGTCCAGCCATGGTGGCAGCAGGTCCAGCAGACGCTGCACCCTGGCAGTGGCTATGTGGGCTCTTCTGGACGAGGTGAAAAGGCGCTATCGTCCGCATATAGTCTGCGTATAGCTCAACGTCGTCCTCCCACTCTTGGAGCCTGCCTGCCAGTGTTGGGATGTCGTTAGTATAAGCCGCGTACAGGACTGGAGACAAACAGCTGCCCTGTGGAACGCCGGCTTTGATAGATCTGGTTGCGGACTCGACGTCCTCTACGCAGACGTAGAACTTACTGTCTTCCAGGAAAGACGCCACTAGCCGCATCATAGCAAGAAGGACACTGGTCTGTTCGTACAGCTTATAAAGCAATCCTGAGTGCCACACCCTGTCGAACGCCTCCTCTATGTCGAGAAAGACGCCCAACGATATGCGGCCACGATTGTACTCTGCCGCAAGCAGGTGCAGCACTCTAGTCAACTGTGTGACTGTAGAGTGACCCCTCCTGAATCCGTGCTGCTCCGCCCGAAGTTTAATGCACGGACGGAGGCGTCTTAGCAACAATCTTTCAAGCAGTTTAGCTATGTGTGGTAGCAGCGTGATCGACCTGTAGCTGGCAGCTCTACGCCTGTCCTTCCCGGGTTTCGGCAAGACGATGACTTTGCCTTTCTTCCAGTCCTCCGGGAAGTGGGATGTCCGCAATATCCCATTGTAGAGTCGACCAAGCTCTACTAGGACTCTATTGGGCAGCTGTCGGAGTGCAGCGTTGGTAATCCCATCGTGCCCCGGCACCTTCCTCGGTTGTAGGCAGGTTACTATCCTCCACAGTTCAGCGGGGGAGATGAACCACTCTCCTGCAAGAGGCGGCGCGGTGCGACGACAGGAACTCCCGTATGCGACTTTCCTTCCTGGCATGAAGCTCCATGAACTCCGCACTTGCTGGGTTCGGCATAAATTGCTCCTCTAAGTGCTCGGTAAGGATATCCGCTCTGCCCTTGGCATCATAGCAGCATTCATCCGCGCTGTTGGTCAGCGGGCAAACGGGAGGTCTGATTTTGGTCAACTGTCGGTTCAGTTTATAGAGCGACGCATCATGCTCATCCGCCTTCCAGATACGCTGATCCCAGGCCTCTCCTCTGAAGGCCTGGACTGCAACCGACAGTTCCTCCGATAAGGTGTTGAGTTGATTTTTTATCCTGGGGCAGCGAGTACGCGCCCAAAGCTTTCTCAACGCTCTCTTGCGCCTGATCTGCCCGCATATCTCTCGCGGCAGATCGTCTCGCCTTGCAGTAATCGGGACGATCGTAGAGGCCGCGTGGAGGGCCTCCTGGATGTTTTTGGTAATTCTAGTAGCAGCGGCCTCTACGTCGTCCGTTGTGCTTATGGGATGGTGGACTGGAGGTCTCTCCTGCAGATTTTGGCAGTAGAGCCTCCAGTCGACACGTGTTTTGAATGCTCTGGGCGGCGTTGTCACCGCCTTTAGGCCAAGTGTTATCAGAATCGGGAGGTGCTGTGAGGAGAGGTCGTACATCACTTCTACCACTATCGGATAGTTGACGTTCCTAGTGAGCACGATGTCCAATATATCCGGACGTCTACGTGGGTCAGATGGAACGTGAGTCGGTTCTTCGGGACCTAATACGTCATAGCTGTTGTTCTCTGCACCTTCGTAAAGTTCAAGACCCGGCGGGGTGATCACTCTGGACCCCCACGCCGGGTGTTTGGCGTTTAGGTCCCCGGCGATGATGGTGGGTGTTTCGCCTTCCATCACCGTCCGGATGTCTGAGGAGCAGAATGGAGTCCCTGGCGGGCGGTATGCTGCGTATATCCTTAGTTCCTCGCCCGCCGCCTCCATTCTTATGCCGATAGAGCGCATAGTCTGGTGTGGTGGTAATTCCAGCTCTTGGTGGACGATGTCCCTCCTCACCAGAACCGCCGTCCCTCTGTAGGCGGCCCCTTGAGAAGTGACCTCGTCCCTTCTGTACAGGTGGTAATTCGGCAGCTTAATATGCGTCTTTGGGTTTAACTTCGTCTCTCCCAGCAATATGATGTGCAAGTCCTGTTGTTGGGCGACTGTGCGGAGTTCATGCAGCTTCTGCTGTATTCCGTCCGGGTTCCAATAGAGGAGGCGCAGATTACTCTCCTCCGTAATGCCGGGCCAGTAAGTTTGCCAGCGCCTTCATTATCGCCGTCACTGGATCTATCCCGGCTCTGATGTCGGCCAAGACTTGTGTGCCGACCTCGATGACAATACCAACCAAACGTTGGATTGCATCTGCTGTTTCGAGGCCGGCAGTAGGTGGTCTCCTGTATGAAGGCTTTGGTATTGGTCTCGGGTGTTGATGATCCTGCACTCTTGGCTTATGGGTAGAGCGCGCTCTAACTGTAGAGCGGGTTCATTTTTGGGATATCTGTATAGTTTTCTCATCTGGTTGCGTTCTATAAATATATAACCTGAGTATGCCAAAGGTATACATGAGGACAGGCGTGACCCAACCGTTATATGCATGTGCCTTATTCACACCGGACAAAAGGCTGTTAAGCACTTTGGCCAAGCGTGCATAAAACACGTCGCAAACTGACTGTTTCATACCAGCCTCATCGATACCGATGTTCTGTGACATACCCAGGTATCGGTATGTTTCAGCCTCGGAAAGGGCCCTTAAGTTGGCGGGCATAGATAAGTCTATGCCCTCAGAGTTAGCGACCCTTCCCCTTTCAACATGGAGGACCGCACACTTATCGGTCCCCAGCTCCATTCTAATAGAATTGCTAAATTCACAAGTGATGTTTAGCAATTCCATAAGATGGGAGCGACTGGAGGCGAATAATTTGAGATCATCCATATAGAAAAGGTGGGTCACTTTTGTACCTCCTTTCCGAAGCTGAAATCCCCTCCCGGAGCCCTCCAGTAAAGTACTGAGAGGGTTCAAAGAGAGGCAGAACCAGATTGGACTCAGACAGTCGCCCTGGAATATACCCCTTCTTATCCTTATGCGGCTTTGCGCAGCCGTCATCCACTCGCCTAGATAAGAGAGGATCGTACTCCACTGCCCCATACACTGCTCGAGGAAGTCTCGAACTGTACAGTCAATCTTGTACAGCTCGAGGACCCTCTTTAGCCATGTATGGGGAACCGAGTCAAATGCCTTTCTGTAATCTATCCAAGCGGCGGAGAAGTTCCGACGGTTGCGTTTCACCACTTTGCCAATGACCGCGTCAATGAGGAGTGGTTCCTTGGTTCCACGACCGCCGCCCCGACATCCATTTTGAGCGCGCGACATCACCTGATTTGAGTCCAGGTGACGAGCGATTCTCGCGCTCAAAATGGATGTTAGTGTCTTGTATATAGTCGGTAAACACGTGATGGGGCGGTATTTGCTCGGGTCTGTGGCATCCTGATCTTTAGGAACCAAATGAGTGATCCCAGTAGTGAAGAGGCTTGGGAGCGACTTCTGGTTGAGAGCCTCTTGAAACTGTCGAGCGAGCACAGCGTGACATGCCATGAACCCCATCAGCCAGTAGTGATGCAGCCCGTCAAGCCCCGGACTTTTCCAGTTCGTCATCCGGCGTTATGATGACGGGGTCCATGGGCGTAATACCCACACACTAACTCGCCACAACTTCCGTCCAAGGGCCCTCGTTGTGGTTTACGGGCTCTGACCACAGGCTACGCCAGAATGCGACCGTGTCGGCCTGATTTGGTGCAGGGCCCGTTCCACTTACTATTAGTCGCTCCAGTGATTTAAAGAGCCTCTTCTGATCACTCTGGAAGAGACGATTCTGGTTGAACCGTGTCGACCTCTCGGTATATCGCCGAATCCGCTTTCCCCAAGCAGCTATTCTTTGCTTCAGGTCGTCTATACGCTCCGTCAGTTTTTGCATTATATCCGGCTGGGACGAACTAACATTTGTCCCAGCAAACGCCACCCTGACGGTGCGCACAATCCTTGGCCTGGTATTGCCTGACCTGAAGCATATCAGTCTGCCGATGAGGGCCCTAGCCTTTGCGATACATTCTTCAATTCTTATTCTCCAGGCTGGGATAGCACTACTTTGTCCAGTAGCGCGTCCAGCCGTGGAAAGTTTGGCGCCTATAATACGGCAGACTGCCAGTGCGGCGCCAAAAAGAAGTGAGTCCGTCTCGCAAAGGTCCCGGCTGGCTTCCAAATAGGTAACCTGCATTGGGTTCAGATCCCTCACGACAGCCCGATTCCGCTTGCTTAGGGCTAAGCGGGGAAGTCGCGGTCGATTTTCGAGAGGTTACTGAGCGTTTCCACAATCGCCTCCTCCAATGTACTCCTCATTTGCTCTAGTTCCAGTTCCTGGGCGACTGTTCCATCATCGTTTGAATCAACCACAACTGGCGTATTCACGGCGGCATTCACATTTGCCATTTGCTCAGCAAGTTGTGGCGCCGCATCCTCAACCGCAGCATTTTCACCCGATGAAGGAACAGCCTCACGTCGTAGCCGTTCGAGTTCGGTGACATCAAATGTATTTGAGCGCAAGATATACCGAACTCGGTCTGCCAGGTTTTGCTCGGTGACGGTTACAGATGGCTCCAGCTCAGCAAAAAGTCGATGCATCCTTGCCCGATACGCAAAACCTCCAGTTTCTCCCAGGTTGTCCCACGCATGCGGCGTACTCCACCAGTGGCGGGTGCCAATTGCTGGGCCCGCGAAGACCCTGCCGACACCAAACCAGCTGGTGGGGATGACGGATGCGAGGGGCTGCTGGGTGGTCGTGCAGCACCTCGCGCTCGGCTGGCGGTTCGCATGCTGTCGCGTCCAGCGCCAGCTCCAGACGCGCCCTGGTGACCTCCAGGCAGCGGCCCTTTGCGCGTTCTTCCGTATTCCATCATCCATTATTATTAATGTTAATTTTTATTAATGTTTATTATCATTATTATTATTAATGTTAATTTGAGTATATTTCTAAGTTTTTATACAATGCATATCAGCTTACGTGTTCCCACAGATAGAAGATCCAGTTGTGTATTCCACTTCATTGAGAAAAGCTACAGATATTTGTCCCCTTCAGAAATTGAATGGTTTCTTAAATTAAGAAGCAATGCATATTTCGTTACAGTCAATTTTAAATGGGAATAACTTCAAATATTGCACTTTATTTTAGTTACGTCATTAGCTTCATAAATTTTAACAAGGAGCCTTTGCCCTGTCTTAGCGTAGTACTCACTTTGTTTACAGTCAACAATGCATTAACTTGATATACATTCAAAAGCTCTTCGCCAAGGTTTTTATTTTCTAGGGTATCAGTAATTTTACGTATTGCTTTCCAGGTTTGTTTAGCATTCTTACATTTGTCAACCTTCGAACTTTCGTACTTTCTTTAAGATTATGTATAAGATCGTTACAAAAATTTCTGTATCTGCTGTACAAAATATTTAGTACTTTGTCAGTCGGCGAGAATTATGCTTTTTATAAAGTACATCACGATGTGAGATACATCTAAGTAAGCCTAAAGGTTGGACAACCAAGGCGTTAAGAAATATTTTCTATTTGCGGTTTGTAAAATAAAACACTCCTGATTGTTCCAGGTCTATTCACAAGCTTTGCCTGACCGTCTACACACTTTTTGACATTTATCTCGTATAAGTTAATGCCACCTACCCTACAAACTTTATAATATATTACACTTTTATATATATCTTATTAATAATTCAATTGCTACATTAGGGTCGTTAATGTAAGAAAGTCGTTGCAAGTAAGAAGGGTTTCCTACACTCTACCTACACTGTTTTCTACACTCACTGTACGAAACAGCGGCAATATGATGCTATTTTACTAATTCTGTGAGAGCGTGGTAATTCCTCGGTTGAGTCGACTCATTTGTACTGCACCTATAGCGTGGCTCTATCACATACATATCTGAGCTACTCGTAGTGTAAAATAATTTGATATTATCAACACGAGGAAGCCAAGCAAAACCATGAAATTATGTTTATCACTATGGTTAATAGAACATAAACCTGTTACACAGTACTTGGGAAGCCATTACTGTAAAATTTTATGGACTTTGAATATGACTTTGATAGATGAGTCTTCAAGTTATTTTACTATGATTGTTTTTGTCCCGTCAATGGAACATTAAAGTGTGTAAACATTTGTAAATGTGCAGAATTCACTATGTTATTTAGTATTTAAAAATAAATAAAATGTTATTATGTTACCTTATATTACTGACTGCGAAATTTAAAAAGCTTAGGCTTGAATCCCCCATTCGACCACTATCTTGATCTACTCCTAGTACCTTGCGCGGCGCTTGAAAAAAACTTGCCTTTTATTTTTTGTTTGAATCTTGGGAACAAAAAGAAATCACAAGGAGCTAATTCAGAGCTGTAGGATGGGTGACTTAGAGTTTCAACACCAGATTCCTCAATGAATGCTTTTGTTCTAAGGGAGGTATGTAAAGAGGCGTTGTCGTGATGCGGCATGATTCCCCGAAGTCCGGACTTTGGTCTTCTCTCCCGTATAGCTTGAAAAGCTTTAGATAATGCAAATGTAGTATACCATTCAGAGTTGACTGACCTACAATTTTCCAGCACTGATGTCGACAAATGTCCGCTCCGTGTAAAAAAACTAGCCACCATTTTTTTGCCCACGTTGCGAGGTCTTTGCAGTTTTGTCGGTAACTGTCCTTCTGAGTTGATCATACCAATGATAGCCTTTAATTTCCGGATCATATTGATAGATCCATGTCTCGTCACCAGTATCGATTTCTGAAACACGCCTAGATGCCCCGTTTTCAAAACGTAGTCGCATTTCATGGCACCAATCCACACGAGTCTGTTTTTCGCTTTCGGAGAGCAAACGAGAGATCCATCGACAACAAAGCTTCCTCACTCCAAGATTTTGATGTAGGATGGTATGAAGTCTCCCCGAACTATTGCCTACAATCTTTCCGATGTCCATATATGTGATTCGTTGGTCTTCTCGCACCAACATTTCAGTAGTCCATACATTATATGCCGTTACTACTGTTTGCGGGGCCCCAGTTCTTTAGTCATCTTTAAGGTTAATTTTACCCCTTTTGACTTCAGCAAACTACCTAAAAACTGTTGTGCGTGATGGAGCTGAGTCCCCTAATGCTGATTGTAACCGTTGTGAACTTAATTGTTCCGTTAAAACAAATTTAAAATCATAATAGATCATAGCACGCAAATGTTCACGGTTAAGGTCCACCGTTTTAAATTAAAATAAATAGAACTTAGTTTTTTTTTAAATTGAGCAATTGGCTTATGTTCTATTTTTAAATAAATTTGCTTTTTAGAAACATATAACACAGGTGCGTCCCATTTTTAAATTTCGAGCATCTAAAAACTTATTGAGTGACCTTCGTATAGCATAGCTATTTATCAATTCAAAATCATTTTTTTAATTTTATTTTTTATTAGTAGCCGTGAAAGCTCAGATGGTTAGCACTCGATGTAAATTTCACAGTACGCGATTATCCCGGTTCGATCGCCGCCAGTACCAATCAAAATTTTTATTGTAATTTTAAGTAGGTACTGATTTAATAATAATAATAATGTAGGGAATTGACGACCCCATCGCCCGCTGACGTAACAGTTAAGTGACAAAACTGCTACGTCAACGCAGTCAGTCAGCGCCTTGGGAGAGGTGTGAGCGCCGTGCCTCGGCAGAATTTAGGGTGCAAAGGCCCGTTTGTGCTTATGGCCACACATTATACGGTGCCGGGCCTTGGCGTCTCCCGTTAATGGACGCCCAAATAATGGATGATGGATAAGAAGATAGTGCGCAAAGGGCCGCCGGGGCGCGTCTGGAGCTGGCGCTGGACGCGGCAGCATGCGGGCCGCCAGCCGAGCGCGAGGAGCTGCACGGTCACCTAGCAGCCCTCCGCATCCATCATCCCCACCAGAAGGCTTGGTGTCGGCTGGGTCTTCTCGGACTCAGCAAGCGGCACCCGCCGCTGGTGGAGCACGTCGCATGCGTTAGTCACAAGCACTAAATACAAACGCACTGCGGGCGTACTTTAGGGCAAAAGGGGAAGAAACTGGATGTTTGGCGTACCGGGCTAGGATGCATCGTCTTTTTACTCTGTCAGTTCCCTCCTCGATACCGCCCGCATCGTCCGCCGGTTTCTTTCCCTTTCCCCCTAACCCTCGGCCGTTTGGTCTCCCCCTGCCGAGGGCCTCCATCTGGTTGGGCTTTTATTTATTTATTTATTTTTATATTTAGTTGATGTTATTGATATTTATGTATATTTATCTTTTCAGTTTCATTTATAATTATATATTTATAGAACCCAACCAGATGAGAAAACTATGTTGATACCCCACAATAATAATAACTTAAGGACTTAAGTTATTATTATTATTAGTCAACTTAAGGACCCTTTCCGAGGCTGAAACATACAGATACCTGGGTATGTCACAGAACATCGGTATCGATGAGGCTGGTATGAAACAGTCAGTTTGCGACGTGTTTTAAGCACGCTTGACCAAAGTGCTTAACAGTCTTTTGTCCGGTGTGAATAAGTCACACGCATATAACTGCTGGGTCATGCCTGTCCTCATGTATACCTATGGCGTACTCAGGTGGACTCAGACTGAGCTTAACGCCCTGGATAGAAAAGTCCGCACTACCATGACGTCCCATAGGATGCATCATCCGAGATCGTCGGCAATGAGGCTGTACTTGCCGCGAAAGCATGATTGGCGTGGCTTTCTGAGCGCGCTTACCATGCATAATCGCGAAGTGTGCAGTCTCCGTCAATACTTCTTGGTGAGATCGGATGATCCATTCTATAATGACGTCATTTCTAGTGATAAAGGGCTTACCCCTCTATCCTTAGCCAACGAGCAATGGCAAGATCCGGCAGTGCTTAGCATTTCCGACCGGGAGACCGTATGGAAGGAGAAGGAGCTCCACGGGAGGTACTACAAGGCTCTACATGAGCCCTTCGTAGATACAGTCGCCTCACTCAACGGGCTACGTTTCGGTGACCTCTTCGGGGAAACCGAGGGTTTTGTCTGTGCAATACAGGATCAGGTTATTAAGACCAACAACTATCGGAGATACATCCTAAAGGATGGCACCGTCAACATCTGTCGAGCTTGTCGCCATCCCGGTGAGTCACTTAGGCATGTCATCTCCGGTTGTTCGGCGCTTTCTAACTCTGAGTACTTGCACAGGCACAACTTAGTAGCCAGAATTCTACACCAAGAGCTCGCTCTGAAATACGGTCTCGTGGACCGAAAATTGCCGTATTACAAGTACTTGCCGGAAGCCGTGCTCAAAAATGATCGCGCCAGGCTCTATTGGGACCGGGCCATCACCACAGACAGGACTATTCTTGCGAATAAGCCTGATATTGTGCTGATGGACCGGGCACAGTCAAGGATATTTTTGGTCGACATTACCATTCCGTATGATGAGAACCTCGTGAAAGCCGAAACAGATAAGCAAACAAAATATCTGGACCTGGCTCACGAGGTGACCGACATATGGGGTGGTCTGCCGACCGAAATTATTCCTGTAGTTGTCTCTGCAAACGGGCTAATCCCAGCCAGCCTCTCGGGTCATCTGAGGCGGCTGGGACTACG